AGTGTAGCCGTTATCAACAAGTCGAGCTTTGAGATAGTCAACAATACCATCAGGCTTCCCAACGACAACCAACAACCTGAGTATCAGCAGGCTTAGGAACAAGGTCCCAAGTATGATTCAATTTTAAAGCCTTTATTTCTTCTTCCATAGCTTCCTCCACCCTGGATGAGAAAGTGCCTCCTTGTAGGACTTAGGAAGAGTAATAGAGGATAATGAAAAAGAAAAAGCTTGAAAGGAGGAGGACAATTTATTATGTGATACAAAATTAGAGATAGGGTGATTAATACAAGACTGTTTACCTTTCCGAACAACAATAGGTTAATCAAGATCAGAGTTCGGAGAGATGGAAGAATCTCCAAGTGTTGAAGCGACTGGTGGAAGTGGCAAGGCTGGGTTTACTACTTCAGTCATTGGAATATGATTAACTACTCTTTTTCGGCGACGAGCATAGACACGAAGAACTGGTGGGATGTCAGAATAAAAAACTGGAGTTGGAAGAACAGACTCTTAAAGAACGTAGTCCTCCAAACAAATGGGAATAATAAGGAAATCCTCAAAGAAAGTTACATCTGCTCACAAATTGTTTACGAAGAATTGGATTGTAACATTTATATCCCTTTTGAGTTTGAGAATAACCTAAGAAAATACATTTGTATGCATGAGGATCAAGTTTGTCTCGTCCCGGGCTTAGATTATGAACAAAACACACACACCCAAACATCTTTGGAGGAATGGAAAAAGGGTTTTTGTCAAAAAACATCATTTGGAAGGGTGATTTTCCTTGAAGGACCCTAGAAGGTATGCAGTTTATAAGATAAGTAGCAACCAGAATTGCATATGCCCAAAAATGTTTTGGAACATGCATTTAAATTATTAAGGCACGAGCGATGGCCTCTGGTACATGGACTCTTCAAAAGTAATGAAATACCTGTGTCGGACACGTATCCCTCAGACATGGGTATGGGATATGTGTCCGGCATTTTTGGTTGGACATGTACTTAAAAAACATATCCAATCATTCAATTACATTATGTTATTACTTTAAAATGAGTTAAATGCCCGGTTTAGGATTGTGCTTTTTCAGCGATCTTTTCCGGATTGGGAGATGGATGATGTTCTTGGTTTTTTAGAGGTGCTGTATAGCTAGGTGATCCAGGGAGGAGGTAGGAATTCTCTTGTTTGGACTTCTTATGCTGGAGGATTGTTTAGTGTGAGATATTTCTTCGGATGCCTTCTGGACTTGGACGGGGTGATCTTCCCTTGGAAGGCAGTGTGGCGTACTAAGGCACTATTGAAAGTGGCTTTTTTCACTTGGACGATTGTGTGGGGTAAAATTTTGACGCTGGATAATTTGAGAAGGAGAAAGCTTATTAAGGTGAATTGGTGTTGCATGTGCAAGTGCAATGACGAGTCCGTTGATCATCTTCTTTTGCATTGTCTAGTGGCGGTGGATTGTTGGAACCTTTTGCTAGGTTTATTTGGAGTTTGTTGGGTCATGCCTTGATCTACTAGAGGCTTGATTTACACATGGAGAGGGGGTTGGGTGGGAGCACAGGCTTGAGGGTTCTGGAGGATGGAGCCTTTGTGTCTTTGGTGGTGCTTGTGGAGGGAGCGGAATAGAAGATCATTTGAAGGAGAGGAATCTTCCATTAGTGTTCTGAAATCTTTTGTTATTAGCTTTCTTTGTTTTTGTGGTTCGGATAGATTCTGCTCTTCTGCTGAGGAGATTGTTGAGTTTTTGGCTTCCCTGGGCCTTAGGGGTTCTAGGTTTTTGTGTTTTTGTTTGGGACGCGTTCTCCTTCTGAACGCTTTTTATTGAATTGTTTACTTATAAAAAAAAAAAAAAAAAAAAAAGAATTAAATGCCTATATTGAACATTATATTTGATAAAAACATTACTTTACTCTAGAAAATAAAATAAAATAATTAATAAAATGAATATTTAGCCGTGTCAGTGTGTCCTTCTGTTTGGAGATTTGATATGTCTGACGCATAGATATATACTCGTGTCCGACACCCGTACCCGATTCCATGTAACATAGGCGATAGCTAGGAGTGGGCTAGTCTTCCGTTCAACAATTCCATTTTGTTAAGGGGTATCAAGACAAGATGTTTGATGGATAATGCTCCTTGACTCGAGAAACTTTTGAAAAATATTAAGTTTATATTCAAGGGCATTGTCAGTTCTAAGAACAAGTAATTTTGCATCAAACTGATTTTGAATTTCAAACATCCAAATGTACTAACTCAGAAGGTTTCAAACTTTTATTATCAAAACGACACTTAAAAGTAGTTCGACGATGTTTACTAAGTTCGCAAGTAGTACAATTAAACTTAGAAAAAATCAACTAAAGAAGGGACCAAGGCTTGAAGACTATTTGAAGAGCGATATCCAAGGCGGCAATGCCACTGGTAAGTTGAAGAGTAGGTGGAATGTAGAGCTGTTAGAGCAGTAATTGGATGGAAGTAGTAAAGACTATCCTTCTCAAACCCCCCACCAATCGTCTTCTTTGTCTTGAGATCCTAAAAGACACAACGGGTAGGAGAAAAAGTAACTGAGTAATTTAAATCTGATATGATTTTGCGAGCTGACAATAAATTGAATGAAAATTGAGGGATATATAAAACTGATGAAAAAAGTGAGGCTCGAAGTGCGGAAGGTAGCAATTCCAATAACAAGTGATTTGGCACCATTCGCTATAGTAACAACCGATGGTGAGAAAATATGAGAAATATCAAAAAGAAGAGATGGGTTACCTGTCATGTGATCGGATGCCCCTGAATCAATTATGTAGAAGATAAAGCATGGAGACATGTATTATCTGAAGTAACGATATTAGCGCTGGAGGATGGCTGATTTGCACGCTCATGCTTTACCAGAGAATCATACTCGGCTTTGGAGAGAACGACTTGTTCATTCGCAAGAATGGGAGTAGTCTCCTCCAAAACCGAAGCTTGATTAGCCCAAGTTGGCTTGCTCCAGCAGAAATCAACTAGAAGTCAACCGAGTGATTGTTTCGGCCACATTGAGTACACTTCTTGCTGCTGCCGCTACTCCCTCTGCTGCCACGAGTACCACGGCTTGGGTTGGAAGGACCTCTGCCCCCTCGTCCTCCACGGAAAGTATCATGTCGCTCAGTAGGAACAACAAGAGCAGAGTGGTTGTCCTTTTCAATCACAGGGGCATGAATAGATGCTCTTCGAACTCGAGCAAAAGTCTCACTTGCTGTGGGTATCTCCTGCCAGACAAAATCTGCGAACTGATCGGAGCGAGTTCGGGTTTAAGTCCAGATAAAAATTTTGCCACCCGAAACTCCTCCTTGTGTTGTTTTTGTTGTTCTATGTCTATAATCGATGGTTGGTAGACATTCAATTCTTCCCACATACCCTTTAATTCTGAGTAATAATCTTCAACGGAGATAGATCTCCCTGGAGATTAAAAATATCCTGGTACAACTAACAAATATGAGAAATATTCTTTTATGAAGAATACATGTCTTGAGATTTTACCATATCTTAGGCTCCAAGTTGTTCCATAACCAAGTCATACTCTGAGCATCTTCTTTCTCCCAAGTCTCAATAATCTTTTCATCACTGGTGGGTTTGGTTGATGATAGGACAGTTTTCCTCGAGTCTATAAGAACACCTCTACGGCTCGAGACCATTGAAGGTAGCTTGAGCCTTTCAGTTTGGTGCTGGTGATCGACCCAAGAAGATGAGATTTCCTAGTATCCATAAGAAGAGCTGCGGATCAAATGAGATATAGTAGAGAGAGGGAGCCGAGATAAGAGAACCAAGATCAAGCCGAGATGAACTCGAGAGAAATTACCGAGGTGGGATCCGAGAGAGATTGCCGAGACGAGAACTGAGATCACCAAGGAGAGAACGCTGAGATGGAATCAAGATTGGAGTACGAGCAAGACTGAAAAAAAAATTAAAGAGGGATCGATTTCCTCTTTGATACCATGTTGAGAGAGAGAGAGAGAGAGAGAGAGAGTGAGTATATGAAAACGTATAATATAGAGTAAGTAATATAAGAATACAATGGTGTTTATATAGGAGAAGCTACGGGAGTAGGTGAGTGGAGAACAAGTTAACCCTATACATGGTAATTCTATATATTGTAACGAGGGTAGGTGAAGGTTCTGATCTCCCGGTGACTGATTTTCAATGGGTTTAAATCTGATACCAAGTTAGAGTATAAAATCAGAGGAGAGAAGAAGAAGAGAAACTGATCAGAGATGAGGTTTAGGGTACGCTGCAAAATCACTCTATCCCTTCACCTTGCCTTATATTTATATTAGAATGGAGACAAATACAATAATACCCCTGGGGTAATATAACCAAAGAAAATAACAATTAACTCTAAAATAAAATAATTCTAACAAAATAATTATGAAACAAGTAAGGGAAAATAAGTAATTTACTTATCCAACTAATGAAGAGCTAATATCTTGTCCTTATTTGCTATTATAGCTCAGGGGTTTTCTTACACTGACAGGGTGGTATTTGTAAAATAATGATAGTCCGAGGTGATTTATTTTGTTATTATTAATAATATTATTTTTCAATTTACCCTAAAGTTCTGGAATGACACAAGTTTAAACTAAGTTGACTTCTAAAATTTCAAATTTACCTATGTGTGCATTTTTCTTTTCAGAATCCAATTCTTGAACTCATACATGTCTTCTTGTTGCAAGTAGAAATCCTGATCTATATAATGGCTAGATTTACTAAATTGTTACCTGGAACTTAAGTACACAAGAAAATTAATGGGTTTAATTTTATCCATTGACCTTAAATTGGACTATTTTAGTCAATCCATGTTCACCCACTAGATTTATTTTGATATTAATTTTTATTTTTATTTTTAATTTGTACCAATAGTAAGTTACGTAATTATTATTATTCGAAGTTAGAATAATCAGGTTATGGAGTCATGTACTTGATATTGCATTAGATTCTTCTTATTTATTTTTATCTAATTTGATTTGGTGTAGGGGTATTTGTTGTACAAAAGCCCTATAATTACCTGTATACTGAGGATGACATTATCGTGCTAATGGAGTAAGTTATACTTTTTCTTTCTTTTTTCTTCCATCACTTTTTTGCAAATTTAAATTTATTTTCAGGTTTAAGGAAAGATATATATATATAAATAAAAAAATATATGTATGTATATATATATATAGAGAGAGAGAGAGAGAGAGAGAGCAAATTTACTTCCTGTGTTTTCTCTTGGTAAATTTTTTCAGGCCTAATACATTTGAGCAAGTGGATTTGCCAAAGGACATGCTTGGTGAAGCAGTTGCATATTTAAAAGGTCAATTTCATTTTAAACACTATGTAGTGAGGCATTTGATTTTTGAATTTTGGAATTATTATTAATTTTTTGATAAATAAGATTGTATTAGAAAGCGTTCAAACCGGGAATGCATCTCGCAAAGCTACACAAGGCCAAATAGGGCCCCTAAACTCTCAAAGAGTCAAAAAAAATTCAACTTTAATTAATAATCATAAAGTTGTCTTCACAATGTATCAACCGACACATATAGGCATCAAGGAAAAACCCCAATAAAATCCTACTACCAAAAATAAAACCCTAAAATTTTAAATTACTAAAATACCCTAAAATTAAAACATTAGTAAAATACTAATAATAAATAAATAAAAATCCCTAATTCTATCTGTCTTTTCAATGTTTCCAACAGTAATGGCGAAACATGTGCAATTCAAACTCTCGGACCATATCTGGTTCTCCATCACCACCCCTCCTCATAACTCCTAACTTGCTCCCCAAATTAGGCTAGAGTGGGATCTAGATGGGCCTATCCATGTCTTGGCTCCAATATACCCAATTAAATGGCTTGTCAAAACTGTTGACCCATTAAATATGCCTATGAATTATTTTCAATCCCACTAAATGAAAATAGTTGCACTCCAAGTGACGAATAAAGAAGCCACTCATGTACTAAATATTGCAAATTAACCACTCCATTTTAATCAGTGTTTAGATACCATAAAGGTAATACCATAATCCAGCTACTAATTAATCCATATTTTGGCCACTTGATTTACGTTTGATCACATAAGATTTTATTTTCTATACCATTGGGTTCCATCTTGAGAAGTATGTTCTAGAGATCAATTTTTTTTTTGTTTGATAAATAAGAATGTATTAGAAAGTGATCAAAAGGGGATTGCATCCCAAGAGAACTACACAAGGCCAAATGGGGCCTCTAAACTCTCAAAGAGCCCATAATCAATAATTATCCAAAAATACTGGGCATATTGAACTTAAAAAGATCTCACACATTGGTAAATCAAAGCAACCACGACAAAAGACCAAGGTCCATACATCCCTCAAGATTAAGATTTTATTCGCCTTAGTATAAGGAAAATTACTTATGATGGCTATCGTAATTTTAATTTATCAGCGATCCAGTTCAACATGTCATACACACTAATGTGTGGTTTTGATTCTTCCACTCAGACGCCCGAGATAAGCCACCCTATTCTATAAAAACCAATGTGTTACATTTTATTTCGATAGAATGTCTAATTTTATCACTGAATGTGAATAATTTCTAATCATGAATACTGATGATTTATATATCTCCTATACACGAGACTCTCCTATGCGCCTAAATTATCCAATTATAATTAGTGGACGTGTAATTCAATCTTTGAATTAACCAACACAAGCATTCACCATATATATATATGTAAGACTACAAATAATAAAACCCAGATAAATGTCGATTACAATCCAAAGTTGGCTTTGTAGGGCATACAATCCCGAGACTTGAACATCATCTTCATTGCCAATCCCTTGCTTTCCCATTAAAGAAAAAGGGCAAAGAGCCAACAATTTGTGAGTTTGCGATGTCTTGATTTTGAATATTTACGACATACAAATTACTATTATTGACGTTTTTGGTAACTTTATGTTGGTCATATTTTCCTGTAAAGTACACTAGTTCTAAATCCTTAAAATGCAAATGGTTCATATATGCATCATGGATCATTCTGAAAATGCTTCCTGCTAGACCTCTGCTTCCTCTCTTGTAGTGTTCTTGACGCGTCTCGTCACAACCATCAAATTGGGAGTGTGGTTTAAGAAGCCTTTTCGGTCAAATTTAAATTTATAAAACCACCACCACTACTGCTACTAATGTAGCATAGCGAGTAGGGATCGTCCCAAGAGACCGCAAGCGTATTCGGAATTAAATTCGGATTAGTAGGTCGAATGATTAAGAGAGGGGTTTGGTTGGTTTAATTAAACTACTATTGAATTGAAAGCATGCAATGTAAAAACAAGCTAAAATTGATTAAGGTGAGAGAAGAGGAGAGAGGTCTTAGGGCATTGGAATCACCGCTAAGCTCTTCTTCTAAACCATTAGTCTTCACAGATTTGGGGAAATTCAATGTTGTAAACCAAGTGAGTGCCAACAATTGAAACAATGAGCATGGATGACTCAACAAGTGTGAATTGTCTACTTAGGCTAGTGTGTAGCACAACCCATCAAGTGAAGACATTGACCATTCAATAAACCCACAATTGTAGCACATACCAATCTAGAGAAATGTACATCTTGTAACAATAAGCATGGATCATCAAATACAAGCATGGATTCTATACCTATCTAGGAATTTAAATGCAATTACACTACAATTACACTAATGATAAGGAAATTAAACTAATTAACTAAGGTTGTAGAACAATCCATCAAGCACAAGCATAACCCATCAAATCAACCACAAGTGTATCTAATAAGCACTATGCATGACCATCACTAGATTCACAATTCAAACACACATAGACATGCATCAAATTTGTAGAATCTAGTGTAGAGACATAATCATCCATTTCATCACACAGACGTGTAAACAAATTGGAAGAATTGAATCATGTAAATCACAACATTTATTAAATCACAAGGTCAATACATTATTTACAACAAAAATCCCCAAAAATATCAAAGAGCTAGAGTTTTAGAAGGCAAGCCTAGGGGCTCTTCCAAGCCCCAAGAGGAGGATCTAGCCACTCATGGATGTTATCTTGCAACCCTCAAGGGCTATTTTCATGGTTGATTTCATCTTCTTCCTCCTTTTTTGCCTCGTCTCTTGCTTAAAAACCCTAATATCTAGAGAGAGAAACTATGTCTAGCTATGTAAAATGTAACAAAAATTGGAACAGAACTTGGAACAAAAAGAGTGGAACCCTATACAATTGGTTCAATTTGATTTAAATACAAGCTCCTTTGTGTAGGCAACAAGTCAGAAAATAGCTTTCTAATTGGTTCAATCCCGTAGCCAAAAGTTAGGTGGAGTTCGGGCGCGCTTGGGAATAAACAGCTCACTGCCAGCAAGGGGTGGCGATCGATCGCGGACTTCGGCGATCGATCGTCAACCTCGGCGATCAATCATTGATGACCTGGCAATCCTATCTTCACAACTGGAAACCTTTTCTGCTTAGTAGGTGTTGACGTGGCATTGCGAATGATCGCAGTTTGCTGCGATCGATCGCCACTTTGAACGAACGATGACGTGGCGCCTTATCCGCTGCTGACATGGCTGCAAAGGATCACAGCCTTGGCGATCGATTGCCACTGCTCCAGGGCACTTTTTTGAACTTTTTCCAGATTTTCTTCTTGATTCCAAAAAGGGCTTAATAGGCTGTCTTTAGCCTGTTTGAACCTTATTGACCTGAATAGATAAAGACAAGAATTAGAACTAAAACGAGAAAGTAAGATAGATGAATGGACTAAAATACCCTAGCTTAGGTGCTAAAATGTGCAACATTTGAGCACTTATAAGTTCTCAGAATGAAGCTTTTTGTTTATGGCTGTGTGTTTTGTTTTCCTTAACCTGTTTTCTTCTTGAATTTATGGCGCTATTACTTGCTATGCTTCCTTGTTTTTTTGTCATCATCTTATAAATCTGACTAGTCGTAATTAGTTTCCATGATTAACCTGTAATCACCAATCTAAGATGTCATATTTAATGGTAAACAGATGACATGAAAGTCAATGTGCAGCTGTATGATGGAAAACCGGTGTCTGCATCCATTCCTCAACGGGTGACATGCAAAGTTGTGGAAGCACAAGCTCCAATAAAGGGGATTGGAGCCACTCCTCAGTAAGTTTTATTGACCTGAAAATCTTCAGTTATGCATTTAAAACACAGACATGCACGCGCGCACACAGACATGCACGCGCGCACACAGACATGCAGCAGACACCTCATATATCGTTTTCTTCAAGACATTATATTTTATGATATGGAATTTAGTGAATTGTTAATGCACTTTGATAAATGTTAGTATAAAAGCTCATAATGATTATTGTTAGCATATATGATAGCCACGATTTATGGAATAACTTATCATAATAGCAAAGATTTGATTATGCATATGTTAGCATATATGATAGCCACAATTTATGGAATGACTTACTATATTAGCAGAGATTTGATTATGCTATAGAATATGCTTTAGAATATGTTGTGATTTGATTTAGATTTGATTTAGTTTCATTTCTTGTAATATGAGCATGTGCTTTTTTATCTATAAATACTAGAGTTGTGAATGGGTGATTAATCTCATTCAAACCTTTACACAATTCTCTCATTTTTTTTTTATATTTCTACTTGGTATCAGAGCCAACACCTTTCCACACCTTTCAACAGCCTTGCTACGTGTGTGACAGCCACCTTAGGCTGTTTGTAACATCGTGTGACGTTGCCTACACATGTTTTTTTGTACTGTTGTTTTGTTCTTGAAAACATGTATTTTTAAGTTTTACAATTTCTTTTTTACTCTTCTAGGGTTGGGTAAATTGGGATAGTTTGTCTCCAACACCTAGAAGGGCTTGGGTAAAAAAAAAAAAAAAAAATTTAGACTGCAAAGAGGTTCCGGATATTAAGGAGGAGGTTGTTTGGCTATATGTAAGCGGGCAGCGCTCCTTAAAAAAAATATGTGTTTGGATTTTTCGGGAATGATTTGAGGAGACATTGTTATTTTTTATGGTCTGAGGAGACCTTTTGATTTATTAACAAAATTTGTGCTGTGTATGGAGTTTTTTATTGTTGTGTGACAGATGGTCCTCGACTGTAAATTTTCTTGGCTCAAGTTCTGTGGGTTGTGGGACCCTTTTTTCCACCAACTCATTAGAAAATCTAGGACGTCAAATCACCACAGTGAAGTTGGATGGTTCCAACTATTTGATTTGGGCACAGTCTGTCAAGATGTTCATTGGTGGCAAATGCAAGATTGGTTATATTACTGGTTCTGAGAAAGAGCCAGCTGAGTCAGAGAAGGCATATCCACAATGGTTTGTAGATAATGCTATGGTTATGTCTTGGCTAGTCAATTCGATGCGACCAAACATAACTGTTGGTTATATGTTTATGAAGACTGCTAAGCAGATTTTGGATTCAGTTCAACGCACTTATTCTCAGAGGCAGAATAATGCACAGATTTTCCAGCTAGGGCGAGATATCACTAGGATTTCTCAGGGTGATTTGACAGTTTCAGGTTACATCGCCAAGCTTCGTGCTATTCGGGAGGAGATGTCATATTATGATTCCTTCCTCTCTTGGATGGATCCAAATGATGCGGTTTTATATGTAGGGATTGTGGAGAAGAATCGAGGGTTTCAGTTTCTTGTCGGGTTGAATGACGAGTTTGAGTATGCTCGTGTTATCTTCATTTCCTACTCTTGAGGATGCACACTCTTATGTGTTGTCAGATGAGAGCCGTCGGACTCATCCATTAGGTGTTGCTTCTGTTGATCATTCTGTTATGGTAGTTTGGGTTCCCAACCTTTCAGGAACTGTACCATCCCAGTCAATTCAGAGCTATACCACCAGTCCTCCTCCGGGACGACAACGTGGACAGTGTGACCATTGCGGAAAAATTGGTCACATCAGATCTCGTTGTGATGCTCTACATGGACGTCCACCGTAACAGAAACAATAGCTTGATCCTCTGCACATTCAGTTACATAACCAGTCTCGTTGTCAAATCCTGACAACTCTGCCTCTACATCTTCTGCCACTCAAGCTGATTTGGACAAGTTCAAACAATTCTTCAACCAAATGGTTGCATCATCTCATTTAACCTCTACTTATGCCCACTCGGGTATTATTACGTCTGCACATAGCGTATCTACATCTTCGACACCATGGATCATTGATTCTGGTGCTTCAGACAATACGACTAGTATGCCCTCATTCTTCTAATCTTATAGCATATGCTCTAACCATCGCAAGGTACGCCTTGCGGATGGTTCTCCATCTTCCATTACTTGGAAGGGTCACGTATCAGTTACTCCTTCATTAACTTTGTCAGATACACTTCATGTTCCACAGTTGACTACAAATCTTATTTCTGTTAGTAGCGTTACCAAACAATTAAATTGTAGTGTAACGTTTTTTCCCTCTCATTGTATTTTTCAGGATCTGGTGTCGAAACGGATGATTGGTAGTGGGCGTGAAGTGGACAATCTATACCTGCTAGATGTTCTTTTGTCACCTTAAGCACATTCAACTTCATTTTCTAATTTTGTTTCATATAATAAAGCCCAGCTTATGTGTTGGCACATGCGTTTAGGACATATTTCTTTCGGTTATTTAAAACATTTTCCTTCCTTATTTTGTAACGTGGCAGTGTCAGATTTATCCTGTGAGACATGTTATGTGGCTAAACATGTTCGTTCCAATTATCCTGCTAGTAGTAATAAATCTGCTTTAAGACTTTTTGATCTTGTTCATAAAGATGTGTGGGGTCTTTTGCCTAATTACTTCTAGTCCTGGATTTCGATATTTCGTGTTGTTTATTGATGATCATAGTCGTGTTACATGGGTTTATCTTATGAAAACAAAAAATGAGGTTGACACCATTTTTAAAAATTTCATGACAATGGTTCAGACTGAATATGGTCGTACCATTAAAAAAATTTAGATTTGACCAGGGTACGGAGTACATTTATGGGGAGGTACAACGGTTATGTACAGAATTTGGGATTGAGCATCAGATGGCTAATGTTAAAACTCCTCGATAGAATGGCCGTTCTGAGAGAAAGAATTGCCACATCCTTGACTTAGCCAGAGCAATCTGCATTGGCATGAATGTTCCTCAGTCATTTTAGGGAGATGCAGTTCTTACAGCTATTTACATCATTAATATGACTCCTAGGTTTGCAGCCCCACTCTCAATCTTACATCCTAATTCATCTCTTTTTTTGATTCCTTTGCAAGTCTTCAGGTGATTGTGCTTTGTTCAGCAGTTGGGGCAGACTCGTACAAAGCTTGACCCCAAGGCTTTGAAGTGTATGTTTTTGGGCTATTCTCACTCTCAAAAAGGTTATAGGTGTTGCCATCGTCCCAGTTGTCCGCGGTTTATATCCATGGATGTTTCTTTGAGCATACACCACACTATAGTGTTTCAGTTGGTTCTCAAGGTGAATGGTTCCCATTGAATATAATGGATGATCACCTTCTTCCGTCTTCAACTCCTCTACCGTTACCTGTTTCGTCTTCTATGATTCCTCCTTGTGATACCCCTCCAGCAGGGGAATTGTTTATTTTCCACAGGTTTATAGTTGGAGACAACAGTTCTACTCCCACAATCGACTGCCCTGTTCCTTCGGCACCAGCTCCACCTTCTCAAGCTATTGTTTTGCTTGATGATCGCCCCATTGCTCTTCGAAAGGGTAAACGTTCTTGTACATACCCTATTTCTAAGTTTGTTTCTGATTGTGCTCTCTCACCCTCCTATCGGAGTTTACTTGTTTCTGTTGCCTCGATTCCTCTTCCTTCTAGTGTTTTAGATGCACTAGCACAACCTTAATGGTGTGATGCTTTGACAGAAGAACTATAAGCACTTGAGAAAAATCAGACTTGGGACATTTTTCCGCTTTCTATTGGATGAAAGGCTGTGGGTTGTCGTTGGATGTTTACAGTTAAGCGTAATCCAGATGGGTCAGTTGCTCATTACAAGGCTGGTTGGTTGCCAAGGGTTATGCTCAGAGTTATGGCATAGATTAACAGGAGACTTTTGCCCCTGTTGCCAAGATGAATACCATTCGTATATCATTTTCCGTTGCTACGATTCGATCTTGGTCTCTATTTCAGTTAGATGTCAAGAATGCCTTTCTCAATGGTGATTTGCAGGAGGAGGTGTACATGATTCCTCTTCTGGGATTTTGTTCTCCTTCTCATTCTAGTATGGTCTGTCGTCTTCGTCATTCTCTGTATGGCCTCAAGCAGTCTCCTTGAGGTTGGTCTGATCTCTTTGGCACTGCCATGCTCAAGTTTGGTTTCCATCAAAGTGCAGCTAATCAAACCTTGTTTTTACGTCATTCAGGCGGTAAGACAGTTGCTCTCATTGTGTATGTTGATGATATTGTTCTTACTGGAGATGATATTACTGGAATTGCTGAGGTTAAGAGCTATCTTGGCCGTCAGTTTGAGATTAAGGATCTTAGTCCCCTACGGTACTTCTTGGGAATTGAGGTGGCTCGCTCCAAGGCCGACATTTTCATCTCTCAACGCAAGTATGTTCTTGACTTGCTTTCTGCTTTTTGTCAGCTTGGCACTCGTCTGCTGGTACTCTGATTGAGCAGAATCATCGGTTGGCTGATTCTGAGGGGGAGTTGTTGTGAGATGTTGGTTAGTATCAACGACATGTGGGGAAACTCATCTATTTATCCATGACTCGACCAGACATTGCTTATGCCGTGAGTGTCGTGAGTCAATTCATGCAGTCTCCTCGTACCCCATACCTTGATGCAGCTATTTGGATCCTTCGCTACTTAAAAGGGTGTCCGGGCCGTGGTATTTTGTTTGCCAATCATGGTTACTTAAGTAATGAGGCTTGTACATATGCTGATTATGCAGGATCAGTTTCAGATAGGAGGTCAACTTTGGGTTATTGTACCACTATTGATGGTAACTTGGTTACGCAGTAAGAAGCAGGATGTTGTCTCTCGATCTAGTGTAGAGGCAAAGTATGGGGCTATGGCTCTTGGGGTATGTGAGTTGCTATGGCTGAAAACTTTGGTGACAGACTTGTGCCTTCCAGTGTCGCTTCCATTCTCACTCTACTGCGACAAGAAGTCTGCCATTAGCATAGCAGCAACTTCCGTTCAGCATGATAGTACTAAGCATATAGAGGTGGACCGTCACTTCATTTGAAAGAAGATCATCATTAGTCAAATTTGCACTCCATTTGTCACTAGCTCTCAGCAGCTTGCAGACATTCTTACAAAGGGCGTCAACAAGATTGTGTTTGAGAATGCATTGTCTAAGTTGGGTGTTTTAGATATCCACGCACCAACTTAAGGGGAGTGTTAGCATATATGATAGCCACGATTTATGGAATGACTTACCATAATAGTAGAGATTTGATTATGCATATGTTAGCATATATGATAGCCACGATTTATGGAATGACTTATCATATTAGCAGAGATTTGATTATACTATAGAATATGCTTTAAAATATGCTGTGATTTGATTTATATTTGATTTAGTTTCCTTTCTTGTAATATGAGCATGTGCTCTTTTTATCTATAAATACTAGAGCTATGAATGAGTGATTAATCTCATTTAAGCCTTTTCACAATTATCTCCTTTTTATATTTCTACAATTATATATGCACAATGACTTTATTGCTATTGTCAATGTTACTTGAGTTATTTCATTGTGCTTTGCATGCGCAGTACCAAAAAGGTTTTGTTGGACAACGGTCTCACTGTTCAAGTAAGTTATTGTTGGAATATTCTTATTAATATATTCCTTGTTGGAATATTCTTATTAATATATTCCTTTTTTGCTACTATAATTGTTAATTCTTTCACTTTCATAACTATTTATTTTTCTTAGAGCCTTATATTTATATTATTGATGTAGGCATTTCAAATTTTGTTGTCATATTACCTATCAAATTTTGGCAGCCAAATTCGAAACTGAAAATTATTTTGTATACCAACATTGTGACAAAATAAAAAATGGCATTAGCATAATATTTGATACAAATGATTTGCATGAATTAAAAAGGTTTGAAGCACCATTTTCTGGACTATGGTATACCTTTTGTTAATATTTGCAGGTGCCCATGAAATTTGACCATTACAAGACTGTATTAGTCAGACCCCATTTTACATTTTGTATACAGTTACAATTAGATTCCCTTCAAGAAGAAAATGTTGAAAATTCAACATAAAACTGAAAAAATGGCAATAATACTTGCTCGGCAATATGAAGGTATAATACAAATTTGGTTAAAATTACAACGAAATTTGGTGAAATTTGATTTTGTTTCTTGAAAAGATGACAAAAACGAACAACTTCTACACTGGAACAATTTAGAGAAAAATAAATTGTTTAGCACAAAAGAGAAATTGTCAAAAATCGAAATTCTTGGAGTAGAACTGAAAATTTTCATTTACCTAAAATAAAAAATACTTTTCCAGTATAAGATCATAAATTAATGAGGACTAGGAAAGAAAACATTCAGCTTGGTAGTTGTGGCATAACAGTATAACAACAATGGTATTTTTGTAGATCTTCCATGATACTTACGATGTGGGGCATTTGGTTATTGGGATTGATTTCCATGAAAGTTTCAGAGGTCTGTTGCTGGCAGTGTGGTGGGTGGAATAAGAATTGTGGCTGACTTGAGTCGGAAAATGGTGACAGAAATGGGGTTGAGCGAAAATTGTAATTGCGGTCATGGGGTTTGGTAGATTCTGATGACTGTTGGGATTGTGGTCATAACCAGAGGAGATAAAAATAGATTAGACAAGTAGGAATATGTAGAAGAGAAAGGAGAAGAAAAGAGAGTTGGGATACACGATGTTTGCTGTAGTCAATGGTGGTCCTGATGGATGATTGAGGTATAGATAGAGGGTCAGCTAGAACAGAGGTGGATATGGGAGACTTTGAAGAGGATAGAATGTGGGTTATTTATATTTTAAGCCCTTATTTTTTTCAAATGATAGGTTAACCTACGTCACTGATAAAAAGTATTGTTAACCTAAAAAATATGTATTCTCCACGTTTCAGATCTAAAACTTTTTAAAGCTATGCTGGTGGAAGTAATTTTCTTTAATACATATATTTAGGTGTAAGTTTCTTGGGGTTGCCCCTGGGTGTCCCTTCGAGGTGTGTGGGAAGTTGGGATCCAGTTGTGGATTGATTCGAGAAGAGATTGGCGGGATGGAAGAAGCAATACCTCTCCAAGGGGGGTAGGGTCACTCTGATCAAGAGTACCCTTTCATGCCTTCCCACGTATTTCATCTCTATTTTCCAGATTCCTTCTTCTGTGGCTGAGAGAATCGAAAGATTGTAGCGTAATTTTCTTGTTGGGGGGGGGGGGGGGGGGGGGAGAGAGTTCAAGTATCATTTGGTTTGTTGGGAGCAAGTGTGTTGTCCAATTCGGAGTGGTGGTTTAGGGATTAAGAAGTTGTTGCCTTTCAGCAAGGCTCTCCTTGGGAAATGGCTTTGGAGGTTTGGGGTCAGAGGCGTTGGCTTTGGAGGAGGGTTATTGCAACCAAATTTGGGGAGAGCAGTGGAGGGTGGAGTTCTCTTGAGGTGCGTGGTCTTAGAGGGGTGGGGGTTTGGACTCTCATTCGGAAGGGGTGGGATGATTTCAGCAAACATGTTCGTTTTCGGATTCGTGATGGTAAGAGGATTGATTTTGGGAGTTCAAGTATCATTTTGGGGGGGGGGGGGGGGGAGTTCAAGTATCATTTGGTTTGTTGGGAGCAAGTGTGTTGTCCAATTCGGAGTGGTGGTTTAGGGATTAAGAAGTTGTTGCCTTTCAGCAAGGCTCTCCTTGGGAAATGGCTTTGGAGGTTTAGGGTCAGAGGCGTTGGCTTTGGAGGAGGGTTATTGCAACCAAATTTGGGGAGAACAGTGGAGGGTGGAGTTCTCTTGAGGTGCGTGGTCCTAGAGGGGTGGGGGTTTGGACTCTCATTCGGAAGGGGTGGGATGATTTCAGCAAACATGTTCGTTTTCGGATTCGTGATGGTAGGAGGATTGATTTTGGGAGGATGCTTGGTGTGGAGAGTGTCCTCTTGCTCTTGCTTTCCCTCGGCTCTACAGGATTGTTTCTCATAGGCAGGCCAAGGTGGTTGACTGTTATCATCTTGATAACGGGAGACTGACTTGGGATGTTTAGTTTAGGAGGACTGGGAAATTGAGGACGTCACTCGCTTTTTGGAGTTATTGTATCGACAGGCGATTACTGCTAGGGATTCGAATTGTTGGCATTGGAATCCTAACTCTCAGGGTCGTTTCGAGGTTCGGTCCTTTTTCAAATGTCTTTCAGTTAGCTCTGTAGGTCCTTTCCCTTGGAAGTGTATTTGGCGTTCTAAGGCCCCTCTCAAGGTTTCCTTTTTTGCTTGGACCTTTGTCGTGGGTAGGATTCTAACCCAAGATAATTGAGGAGACGGAATTAGGTGGTTGTGAATCGTCGTTATTTGTGTAGGAGCGATGAAGAGACTGTCGATCATTTTCTGTTGCATTGCAGCATGGCTAGGAACTGTTGGGATTTAATGCTTGGGTTGTTTGGGATCCCTTGGGTCTTGCCTTGTTCCTCTAGAGGGTTGATTGAGGCTTGGAGAGGTTTTTCAGTAGGGGCTCTCATTCAAGACGCTTGGAGGGCTATGCCTCTTTGTATTTGGTGGTGCATTCGGCTCGAGAGAAATCGGCGTTATTTCGACGGGATGGAGAAGCCTATTTCTATGCTTAAGTTCTCTATTATTTTCACTCTTTTTTGTTGGGTTTTAGGGAGAGATTATAGATCTGTAGAGGAGATTATTATTTTTTTTGGCCTCTTTGAAGGCTTAAGGCACTGGTCTTTTGTTTTGTTCTTGGGTTTCGCTCCCCTTCTGAGCGCTTTCTTTATAAATTTTTACTTATCAAAAAAAAAAAAAAAGAAAAAAAGAAGAAGAAGAGAGTGTAATGAAAACCAATTATTTAGTACACATACGAACCAAGGTTTTCATTGGAGGATATCTGAGCAGAAAATTTATGGGCCATCATTTAGGGCAATTTTGAAATTAATGGCTGTCGGGTGTGAGAATGCAAGTTTGAATATGAGGTGTTACACCTAGATCCCGAGTTCTGAAAATCCAATGCCCATCTGGGCATTTAGGTTGTGATCCATAAATAACTTAAAAACCTTTAATTAGTCAATCACAGTGGCTATCTGGGCATTTAGGTTGTGATCCATAAATAACTTAAAAACCTTTAATTAGTCAATCACACTGGCTAGCATTCTTGGGGAAAAAAAAACACCAATTACGAGTTCTTTTATGAAGTTATTTTTTTAATCATCATTTTATCAAAGTTTCAAGTGGTATTTACGAAATTACGATTGTATATCTATATCTATACTACTATTAAAAGTCTATAGATTTTCTATTTTTTATGTACACTTTAGTACCTTTTCAAATTAAAATAAATATTAATAATTTTTTCTTTTTAAATTACATAACGGTTCCCTCACAGTTACCTATTTAAAATAAATCATCTCTCAAAGACATTGCTTATCCCAAAAGTCATGTGGACAAAAACAGAAAAAAGTCTATTCTTGACTAATGACAAATGTCATTGAGTTTCCAAGAGTCACATTCTTTCGCTGCATACCAAGTCCGTCCAAGAAACAGCTAATAATGTCCATCGATTAGTTGCCAAAGAACACTCATTCCAAAAGTCATCGACTTTCCAATAGCCGCATTCTTTCTGTGTAACCATATTTACCCAATTCATTAGGAATTTAAAAACAATTAAAAAAAAAGAAAATAAAATAAAAGTTATTGGTTTTCAAAGTCTCTTTAAAACTACTATGGCCATTCTTAATCATTAGGTATATATATATATTTTTTTCTGCTTTCTCTTTCTAATATAGATAGATCTATTCTACTTTGGAATTGTTTTCTTATTTACTTCATAGATAAATTATTGTGAACTTCTAAGGGTTGTTTTTCTCTTTATGCAACTGATTATGCATTGCACGTGAATTTTACTAGTAAATCTATATCTTCTTAATCAAAATTTCTATTACATCAAATTGCTCACTAGTCAATATTCACAAGGTATTCTCCAAACGTTTAAAATTATTTCACTGAATTTAAGCATGATTTCAACAAAGTGTCTTTAGTGTGCATAAACTTGAAATGTGTGACATGTTAACTTCTTGTTCATAATAAAGCAAGTCTAGCCAATTCGATAATCTTTTGTTGAAGCAACTTTTATTTATTTATTTATGATAAGTAAATAATATGTATTAGAAAGCGTTTAAAAGGGGAACACATCCCCAGGAACTACACAACGGTTGAAGCCAAGAAAGGCCCTAAGAACCCAAGGAGCCCAAGTTTGCTTTCAATACTGTTGGGATTTGCGTCTCAAATTCCTATTCTAATTATGTTTTTATTTTAGAGTTGTCTATTTGGTAATTTCTTGTTCGGTATGGCCTCTAAGAAATTCTAATCCTTGTCCAACAAGGAATTGAGTTTCGTTAACTCTATAACTATACATAGGTTTTGTGTTGAGATTTGTGAGATTGAGATAGATGTAGTCTCACGAGGGAGTTGATGGGAGAGGTAGTATGCGGGTTGGTTGAGTAGGAAAAACACCGAGGGTCATTGGAGTTGAGACAGGCTCGTGGAGTGGTACGTGGTGAAAATACATTTTCTTGGTGTTGGTGCTATATTGTTGCAATATCGTTACGAATCATAGTGGAATTTCTTCTC